CATAGAGAGGGATTCTGTATACAGACTGAAAGGTCTTTGGCCGGGATTACGAAAACGTCTTTCTATCTGCTGTGGACCTCCAAGAAAAAAAGTTAAGGAGCTTCCTAGCGGGAGCATTCGCATTCGGTACGAATTACGTCGTAAGACTAATGCGATCATAGCAAGGTGGCCGGTGGTTACGTCGTAGAGCCCAGAATGTGCGCAATGTTTTGGATCCTTTATGCGTGTGCTCATTTGCATTCGAAAGTGCTCTCTGTGCAAAAATTTTCGCATAACTCTCGTGCCAGGTAATGTCGTGACGGAATAATTTTCAACTGATTGTGGAGACCCCGGAGAACATTTTTTAGTTGTTGACTTCTTTTATTGATATGAGAAGCATATTTTTCACAACAAAAATTATTCCAGCGAATGAGTTGGCCTTGAAAAATGACTTTATCCTTCAAACGGCATGGCTGGATCCATAATCGCATGAAGTTGTGCACGAAGATGAATGTAGTTGGAAAATGCTTCCACATGACGTGGCATTGATGTGGCAATCGTGCTGGAGAACGTGATGGGCAAAACCTTCATTCATCACCTACATAGTGTTGAAAGATGTTCTATTCCAAAGTGGTGCTTTCGCACCTGTTGGAAGTCTTCGGCTCGTATGACAACCTCATCAACTAGAAATTTTCTTCGTTGTATTGTTCGTTATGGCTCGATTAGTTCAGAAACATTACTCACAACATGATCAATCGCGAGAGTTATGAAAAAAAAACGATTTGGAGTGCACAGAGAGAAAAATACTATGCTTTCATGCGACTCAAGCTGCTTGACAAAATCGAGACCAGTCAGAGTGCACGGTTCAGTCTCTCACAGAGGAATGCAAACGGCTCACAAATCTCAGGCCGGTCACAAAGATGGCTGAGTACGGATCGTCAAATGTGCATGCGACATGGACAGACAGGACGAGCAGAGCATCCGCTTCAATCGACTAAACGCCCCCAGGCGGTCCGCGACAAGAACGACAAACGTTCCTCACTGCCCTCGGAGCCGCCTCCATCTCCATGCTGGCTATGCGGAGCAGTGCAACCTTCGTCAGAAACTGTTCATATCGACGACATAAAGGCTATGAATGCCGCAATCGGTCACACAAAAGGGTTCTGCGATACCAGACGACGACGATAAATGACCACCACCATTAGTGATTTCGAGTCAGTATATAGGCCGCTCATTCCGAGCGGTGTACTTCAGTTCAGTTCAGGATCTCTGCCTATTCTACTGCCATCTACGCATCTACGCGCACTCTGCGATACAGCAGTTTCGTTATCCCCGTCCAAAGACCTTTCAATCAATATACATTTAAATTCAAATAGCTCACTTTCACTTAACATCCTTCCCCAGTAGAAAACGCTGTGGAAAGGAAAATACTGGAGGCCTTGGGGATAAAACGGCTACTACCCGAAATAAACAACAGGGAAGAACCGCGACATAATACAAATCATCATTTGATCGTGTCACTGTATTCCATTATTTGAGGGTACGGTCAGGGTGATTGGCTATTCGTGACTGCAGGGTAATGGATTGATTGGGAGGCATTCCTTAAAAACTGGATTTTTGTATAAGTATAAGAAACTGTGTAACTAAAAAACACAAGGTTAAACAATTTCAGCTGACGAAGGTGCTAGGCACGAATATTGCAAGCTGATTGATTTCGAGTAAGCGTTTGAGATTTTTGTCATCTGAGTTTTTTGAATAAACGTTGGAATATCATAGTGTTTTTCAAACAGTCGGATGAAATGAGACCCCGGGACAGCACAATACTCCGGTGCGTTCGGGACTTGCAACGTCCACACCAAATCAGCAGTTAAAATTGCTGTCTTACTGAAATGTGTAGCTTGTCACTAAGCGGCTGTTTTATACGAGAATCTCTAAAGTTTCTTCTCGAAGTAAAAATTAACATGTTTTACCTAGGTTACTGTTTTTTAGAGTGGTACCTTACAACAACAGGCGGAGTCAGACATAATCTTGTCTCATTGAAGGACTTATTACTCAATGCCAGCATCGCTGTCTGACCTGACAGAAGAAACGCATGTATACATGGCATAACCTCATCGCCTAATTTTCTGCGAGCACGGTTAACAAGTGAAGGAAAACGAGGAAAAAATGGGGAACGATTGTGCTTCAGAATCAGACAGTATAATCACAGCTACGCCGGCTTGGGCATAAGCGGCTAAATAACAGTTCCAAAACTTACATGGCTCCACCGACCTACATCAAGACTCATTCATAAAATGAGATGCAATATCACCGAGACGTTGCACTATCATAGGAACCGAGCGACTGGACGATGATATGGAAGCCACGTTAAATCTGGGTCCGCAATTGCAGTAAACGTTATCCCTTAAAACTATGACTGCAGTTTGTCTCGGCAGCAAGAAAAAATTAATGCATGAATGTAATGGCCGGAAAACAACGGTCTCTTTGTATTAGATCGGAAGTCCTCTATTCTTGCTGCCACTCTGTCCTTAAAAGCGAATATTGTGCTCCAAAACTTATTGGGTCGCTCCAGCCACTGCTGACCGATTTACACCTAAAACTTGGAAATGCCTATGCAACACCGAATCAAACAAATTTTAGGTGTAACCTACGGTACAAGAAATTAGAGGACTTAAAAAGCTTATGGAAATTAAGGGAAAGCTAAGCTATGGTATTGTAGACAAAAGCGGGATCGAGTCGTTGAGGATATGGACATGGCAGTCACTACTCGTAGTTTAGAGGATCGTGGGACAGAAGATTTTTATCATCCTCATCCTGCATATCCACCTTCTATTCGCTTGTTAGAACTCACAAAATTGTGGCTGTTGCTCCAAGTATTCTCACCGAAAAGGACGTCAAAACCAGCCCGCTCCATTATCTCCTGTTGTGGTGGACCAGCGGATAAATCAACTGATATCATTCAATCTCTTCCCCCCCCCCGCTCTTACACCTCGTAGCCTCACATTTAATAAAGACCAGGGATTTCATTACATGCCTGGACCAGAGCCATATACTCACCAGTGCGTATTATGCTAGCTTCGATGCTGTTACACTAAATAACGGTCAACACTCGAGATGCAATAGAAGCTTCGTTAGTCCTGTGGAGGCAGTATAAAGAAGAAACATACACATTTGGCTCGGACGAAAATGACCTCAAGGATTTACTCAAGGCGACACTGCAGAACAACATATTCCAACTTCACGGAAGATTTTATGTGCAACATCGAGCCTTAGCCATAGAATCACGAATAGCACCACTGCTGTGCATTGTGTACCTGGACTTTTTGGAACGAAGGCACTGACAGCTGGGATATTTTTTATAAACAAAATATCGACGACGTATTCATAAGTGGTTCGTCCCAAGAAGAATTAGAAGGAACACATCTCAGTTTTTACTCGCAGGAGCCCAGCATCCGTTTACTGTGGAAAACCCAAACATTGAAGTATTTGTTCCATTCTCATACGCAAAAGTTCGGATTGAGAATGGAACCTTGGACTTATCCTGGTATAGCAAGCCAGCTTCAGTGAATGTCCTGCTGCACGCTGGAAGTTGTATATGAAAGCCAGTGTTGTCAAACATGGTAATCACTAAGGGGAAAATCCGCACCCAGCAATCATCAGAAGTGGATTCGATGATGGACAATATTTTCAGGGACAGTGGTTGCACAAGCCTCACACCCATACGTTTAGACTACATGCCGCGGATATAATTTCCGTGGTGTTGCCGTATCTCAATGAAATCACAGTATTAGAAGGAAGTAATATAGTAAAAAGGTCACTATTCCCTATACGCTTGATATTCCGTCCTGCACCAAATTTGAATGTCTTCTCACTTTTTAAGGCCTTATGAAGATAGGTGTGCCTGGGCAAGTTAGTCACTGTAATCCATAAAATTTCTCAGCTCAAGGGACAGTTTACTTTGTAGAGTGTCACGGATGCGGGCAAAAATATGTGGGGACATTTGTTGGGCCCTTCTGCAAAGGTACCGACGAGCACCGGAGAGCGCTGGGAAATTCACCCTCCTACCCTAACAGTAGTTTCTCTAAGATCGCATAAAAGTACACGCTCACCAAGAACGCCGTCTTTAATCATCGAAGTACTGCACCCCTCAGTAGAAAACTTAATGGAAAGGAAAATACTGGAGGCCCTGGAGATGGTACTACCCGCGATAAACACAGGGACGAACTGCGACATAATACAAATCATCACGTCACAGTATGCCATTATTGGGGAACGTCACGGTGGGTTGGCTATTTCGTGACTGCAATGTAAGTGGATTGATTGGGGGAGCAGTCCTTGTAAGTTCAGTAGATACTGTCTAATCAAAAACCAGGTGAAAGTTCAGGCCTGACGAAGGTGCTAGGCAAAGAAATATTGCAAGCTGACTGCAAAAAAAAATCAGACTTTTGATGTCTTTTGAGTTTTTTAGAATGAACGTTTGAAGTATCACACTGTTTTTGATATTCCGAGAAAAAATCAATAGATAAAGGGTGAAGCCTTCGCCGTCGCCGTCAATCCCTTTGTGGGATGCCGCGCGCATTCTACTTCCATTCGGAATCGTGGCGGGTTATTGAGTGCGATGTGGTCTATACAATGACTTGCAGGGGCCAGCCAATGTCCAAATCTAGGTTATTATCCTCTCATTCGAATCTTACCGATTAACCGTCTCCGGAGGGTAGAAGCCTGAGTTGGCCTGGGGGGGGGGTGGAGTCCAGCCTGGTTTGAACCCAAAACCGCACGAGTGGTATGAGTGTGACTTGCCACTACAGCACCTCCGGCTTAGAAAACAAAACTGTTAGCACCGAAGAAAAGGGCAGAGACACGGAAGTAACAAACAGTCGACCCGATTGAGGCCACCTAATTAAAGCAGACTGAAAGGAATAGAACCATCTCGTCTGTTCCATGCTGCTCGTGATTCTGGCATCTTTTTCCACATTGGGAATCTTTCAATTGTCATCCTTCCTAATTGGAAGCTCATCATAATGTCTATGATGTTGGACTTATCTTATGTCTACTTACAGTTTTGGATCCCCAAGTCTTTTATTTCTTCAGAGAGGATACGTTCATTCGCTTAATTTCTCCTCTGAGCTTCCATCATGGAAGGCGAGATGGACATCTATATAGCGATCAAAATGGTGAGAACAGCTCGTTAACTGCTTTGTTCGTAATGGCCCTCTCTTGCGTTTGTTTGGTTTTACGTACTTTCTTTCAGTGGATCTTTCTTCAAGAAAAACCGGCACGCTTCCGCTTTACCAGACAGCGAGTTCACTCGGCTTATGAACGAGACCCTCTCCAGCTATCCTTTACGGTACATTGTTCGTGAGACTGCCCGCATTGGTTGCTGCACTACGCCTTCATCATATCACGCACTACCCTAGGTACTTCTTACCGATTTATTGGTTACTTCTGGTATCATGTAGTAGGTATTAATGTTTGCTTCGCAATGTGCTGAAGATTGGTGGGAGGCCCCGATTGTCATTTTGAGAGTGATCTGCTTGAGTAACCGCCCAAATAATAGCACTGTTGCGAGTAACTCTGTTATCAGTTGATAAACTCACAGTGGGTGCAATCCTCTGAGGACTCCGATAACTGGCCTGAAGAGTTTTTCCCCCTGGGGGGGCAAGAAAAAGTCACTACAGCGCCGAGTCACATATGTGAAGTTTCAAAGCCCAGACAGAAAACATGGATACGAGCACCAGGGCGAAAGATGCCCAGATAATGTTATAGGACTTACAGTGAATGAATGAGAAGCACTTGTTTATGTTAGGAATTATCATTGTTATTCCTATATATCAATTGTTTACATTGAGCCGGTCTGTAGTTATATGGTGAGGTTCATTCTAATTCGGGATACGTGCGGTTCCCTGTGCATCTATCTGATAAAACTTCCTCGTCACCTGTTGATCTATACATCACCATAAGCTAGCAACAACTGGCGATCAGCGAACTGGACGTGGACCAAGACCGAAGACTATCGAAGGACAAGAAGAAATCCGACAGAAAGTGAGTAATATGTACCGCAGTTTTCCAGAGTATACCAACAGAACTCACGATGGGTTCAAGCAGGAGCCTTGCAGCACCATCCTTGATGCAGCAGGGCAAGGCCCAGCAACAAGATGTTTAGCAAAACTTTAGACACCGGCATGGAAGTATGTTCGCTTCGTCTCGCCAATCACATCTCAGCTCCTGTCGTCACACGGCCGAGCGTCGGTCACAAATTCTCTTTCATCACGTCTGCACTGAGTTCGTATACGATCTTGGACAACGCTGTACCGTTCTTGACGTCTTGGTGCAATCGCTATGAGATGTCATCGCGAAGGACGCGGTGCATACTTGACAATGCTGCCAAGCGCGACTCGTGCGTCGCCAAACTCGACGCCTCACCTATGCGCCTATTCGCAAACCACATCCTTCCGAGGAAAGCGTGCGACGTTCCACTAGAAGACCTATATCGGTTCTTGACGGAAGTGTTTGTCACAATACGTGGTTTTTGTCAGACGCTACGTATACGTGAAGAACTCAACGGAATGAAGAGCAACCTTCCTTGGTTGCCCTGAGGACCCGACATCGCGGTACCTACTGAACCTCCGCAAGGATGGAGGACAATACCAAAAACAACATTGTAAGCGAAGCTCACGCTGAGATACAGCAATTGTCCTCGACAATCGTCAAGATGCCGCGACTAGCTCGGAAGCGATTCCGCTCCAGCCCACGATCAATTGCAGTCGACAATAACAACCAGAAAAATGGAAATCGGCGAGCCGGCCTCAGCATGCCTTCGCTGTGGAGGCAAACCACTGGATCGAGGGACCTGCCCATTCCTGGAAATAAACATGTCACGACTGCAAGACAACTTGGTCACAAGCAGATTCTGCAAGAACTTCACGAGGAAGAAGAAGCAGAAAGCCACAGCGGAAGCGAAGAACTACCAACAACGTCGTCAGTCGCGGTCGGTAGTCCAAAGTTAACTACCCCCTGGGACTGACATTGAAAGTCCGCCAGACGACAAGGCGATCAACAGTTCGAGGACGCTACGACTGCAACTTCGTCATTGATGGTCATCGAGGCAAGGTACCTACTACGTAGCCGACACGCCATCGCTGTTGGGTATGGACTGGATCGCCCAACACGAGCAGCGTATTCCGTCATCTCATCAGAAGGATCAATTTGCACGTATCTTTCAAAGACGCTCAGCACCCTTGAAATACTTCTCTTTACTACGCCATCTGAGGAAGGAAGTTCCCAGCAGTTTTTCACACCAGGAGCGCTACGACGTTGTACCCAATCAACTGCTAAACTCGTGCTGAAGCCAGAAGCGAAGCCATGTCTCTGAATGCTCGCCTGTTCGTATATGCGGCTCTTGCCAAAGATTCGACCGAAATAGATCGTCTGGTATCTAATAAGTCTTGACGGCCCATCGACCACTCCGAATGGGCCGCAATGGTCGTCGTCGTTCAGAAGAAAAACGCGAACGATTCGACTCTGTCAGACTACTCAACTGGACTCAACAACGCATTGTGGAACAACACGACACCCACTTCCAAGTCCACACGACATCTTCACAAAACTCAAGGACGCTACTTCGCTCGATATCGCTTGAAGCTCCTTCAGTTGGAAGTGGTGATGAGTCAAAGAAGCTGTTGACAAATCATACCCACCGTGGATATTACGTTTTCAATCGACTAACCATTTGGAGTGAAACCTGCACCTGGCATCTTCCAACAGGGCATGGACGCACTCATCACTGGAATAGATGGAACTGCCGCCTTTCTCGACGACATACTGGTCCAATGGCCAGAACGCATCGATGAACATAACACTCGACTAGGCAGTGTTCAAGAGGATCCAGGACTAGGATTTTCGTGTACAACCGAAAAATGCATTTCTACGAGACAGAAATTGCCTACTTGGGTTCTTCGTCAATGCACAAGGACGACACCCCGATCCAAGACAAGATCAAAGCCATTCAGAAATGCCGTCTCCAACAGACATCAACCAGCTTCGCTCATTTCTAGGACTCATCAACTTTTATGGAAACTTCGTCAAGGAATCTGCGCAATTTACGCCGCTCCACTAGACGCTCTCACGAAAAAGGATGGCTGTCTGCGAATGGACACAAGAGTGGCCAATCTTCTTCGCACAAGATCAAGGCAACACTGATCGGATCTCTTGTTAACTCAACTTCCGACCCCGGTCTACCAATCTTCGTAGCTGCCGATGCTTCCAACTAGTGAATCGAAGCAACTCTTTCTCATCGCTTCCCGAAGTGAGGCGAGAAGGTAGTTTACTATGCAAGCCGTTGCCTGACACCAGCCACAGAAGAACTACAAGCCAGATTGAGAAGAAGCACTCGCTCTCATTTCTGCCGTGCAGAAGTTCATCGCTTCATCCATGGACGACACTTTACGCTAAAGGCGGAATACAAGCCGCTCGTCGCGATCTTTGGAAGCAAGAAAGGAGTACCAAATCTACAGTGGCAACGTCCTTCAAGCGATGGGCCACATGTTACTCAACTACCAGCCCACCATCGTCAACACCAAAGGATTTCGAGCAGTGTGGACGCTCTCTCGTCTCATGAGCGTCACACTCGCCAATACGAAAAGACTACGTGATCGCCTCCGTCGACGCCGATACCACCGCCGAGCTCATAGAAAACTGTCGACACCTTCCAGTATCCTGCCGAATCATCCGAATCGCTACGAAAGCCGATCGTTTGATCCAGCAAGTGATCAACCAGTGCGAAATCCGGCAAATGTTTCAAAAGTGAGATCGCAAACTCACGCCTTATGGTCTTATTACAAACGCAGGAAACACCCTCACGACTGTCAGTGGATGTCTTCTGAACGAATCCCGTATAGTGGTTCCTCAATCGCTACAACATCGCGTTCTGACAGCACTCCACAAAGCCCACCCAGGACAAACAAGGATGAAGATGCTCGCACGAAGCTACTCTACTGGTCAACATTGGACACTGACATCGAACACATGGTCAGGACCTGCCCCAAATGTGCTTCAGTTGCTAAGGACACAGTCAAGGCAGAAGTGCAATCCTGCGAAACCAACGTCTCCATGGAATCGAATACATGCTGACTTCGCCGGACCGATAGAAGGACGATATTACCTGATAATCGTGGATGCCTACTCCCAGTGGCCTGAAAGATGTCAACGATTTCTTCATCAGCCACGATACAAGCAATGAAGAAAATTTTCGCCAAATTCGGAAATCCGGTCACACTCGTCACAGACAATGGGACGCAGTTCACATCTTCACAGTTCATATCGTTCTGTCGTTTCCGAGGAATCACACACATACGCACACCACCGTTCCATCCACAAAGCAACGGACAAGCGGAACGATTTGTGGACACCTTCGAAAGAGGACTTGCCAAGTTGAAGGGGGAGGCGACAGAAGACGCTCTACAGACATTATTGATGGCTTACCGCTCTACGTCATGCCCGTCTACACCAGATCAACGCTCACCTGCAGAAGCCGTCTTGGGACGCCGACTTCGAACCTAACTCGATTTGATGCTGCCGACAAACGACGACACGGCAGGAACAAGAGATCTCAAGATGGAAGCTCTCAGATCTCAAGATGGAAGCTCTCAATCGTCGAAATGGAGCACGACACCGCAGCTTCGAAGTAAATGACGCCGTTAACGTAAAGACTACCGAGGACCGAAGCCTGCTTGGGCACCTGGTATCATCATTCGACGCGCTGGAAACGCCACATACGTAGTCCGCTGTGGAAATAACATATGGCATCGACACGTAAACCAATTACGATCGAGGACCGACACAGCAACGACAAATACCCTCCTGGAAGCATTTGATCTACCACTGTTAAACTCCACGAGCAAGGACAATGTGACCTCCTAGACAATGACTACCAAACCGCTTCGACGGTCACAAAGCGTCCGACGTCATCCACACCGTCTCCAGCTGGACCCTCGAAGATCCCGATATTTGTCCACTTAAAGGGGGAGGTGTTGTAGGACTTACAGTGAATGAAATGAGAAGCACTTGTTTATGTTAGGAATTATCATTGTTATTCCTATATAACATTGTTTACATTGAGCCGGTCTGTAGTTATATGGTGAGGTTCATTCTAATTCGGATACGTCGGCTCCCTGTGCATCTATCTGATAAACTTCCTCGTCACCTGTTCGTCTACACATCACCATAGCTACAACAACTCATAAGCGATAAGCAGGAGTAAGCTCCCGCCCATCCTCGCCTTCATGTTCACCAAAATTTGAAGCCATCTCCAATCGCAGCCAAACTGACGAAGCTCTATGGAATTCACGTCACCTCCAAACAGCTGCGGAACTTCTTGTATGGAGTCACCCATGGACAGCTACCTGGGGACTACCTGGAG